AAACCGGGAGAGCACGGGTACGCGAGGGGTACAATAGCCGTCGGCGTCGTCGGTGTGCGCCGCGCCACGCCGCAGCACGCCTAATCACCCTCGGGCGGGCGTCTGCTATTGAGATGTTTAATTAACTCCATTGTGATCTCCTCTTTCGGGCTGCGACACGCCGCAACGGCCCGATTATCGTCGGGCCGAGGACAAGGGGTTTCACCGGTTGAATCCCGGAAATTTTTGCGGCGCGTTGTTCGATTAAATCTAACAGGCAACGTAGCCGGTTTATCGGCGAGAATGAACACGATGAAATACGAATAAGGAGCCACATTGAACGTATTGTCGCCCGCAAAATGCAAAAAAATATGATACACACAGTCGGAACAGAGTTGTGGAAAATAGATCGTAGCTGGAGGATATATTGGGAGCGAAATAAACGTTGAACCGCGTTAAATGATGATGTTTCATTCACTTTATTTTTTGCGACGTTTTATTTATTCCCTGTAAAAATTATGAATAATTATTACAAGCTTTATCTCCTCGTGGATTACGTCATGATAATAATGCTAACTTGAAAAATTTCGGAATACATTACCACATTCCCATGAAAAGATACAGTCGATGGCTAGTTATGTGTAGATATGTACGTTGCCATGAACCGAGTTTGGAGACTTATATTGATAACTCGATTTTTTCTGCGGATGAATTAATAAATTTACTTCGGAACAAAATTGTGTAACGGCGGCCACCAACTTCTGATGAGCAACTAATTGACTCGCGTGATCAGCTTTGACGGGACAATTGCACGAGCAAGATTTGTCCCCACCATTCTCCGTGGTTTTGTTCGTTGAATCTATCTCAGGGATGACTGGTTTTGGTGTTGTTATTGGTGGTGTTGTTGGTTTTGATGTTGTTGTCGATTTATTGTCAACGACATTTGATGATTGGCTGGTCTCTCCATAGCCGATTCTCCAACTGTTGCCTTTACGATAAGAAGAGTCCTCTCGCGTTATTTGCGAGAACTCTCCAGTGCTTAGCGCGATGAAAAATATAATCAGAATAGTGAAACGCTTCATTTGATCGGAAGATTCACTCACTTATAGAATGTTGAGAAACAGCATCAACGACAGTCGACGACTATCGACCTAAGTATCTGCCTGGCGCTTAAATAGCACTCGAAGGAATGTAGCGACTATTTTGGATGGGCCACTTTGTTCTTCAAAAGTTATTCGATAGAAAAGGAAAGACGATCATTTTTATTTATTTTTAAATTATTCTAATTTATGTATTTATTTTTATTCTATTCTAATTTATGTATTCTATCAATTTATATAAATCGTAAAAATAGGATCGATGAAAAAGCCGAATGGCACGTTTGCAATAGCGTAGAATCCGCTTTTCAATGAAAAAGTATACTTTTTGGCAATCTCGTAACGTCGCCCTCAGACCGAGGACTATGAAATAGAAAGGAATGTCTCAGTTTTTATTTTGTCATACAGTGACGTAATTATGCGATATGATACGTCTTCGCGTGTTTTATGTCGCAAGCCAACAACAACGAGCAAATGTCACTCGTGTTAATGAATGCCACGTCCGTGAACGACGAGAATGTCAATGGATCGCGCGGTCAAATCTCCACGAAATCTTTCTCGTCTGTATATTTCTCGTAACAGCGAGACATTGGACGAGCGAGGTAGCGTGTTGTAAATTTCGCACGGACGGTCTTGTCGCGCTAACCCATTCGGCCGCGATCCAACAACGACCGGCGAGCTGCCGGGCCGATATATTTTAAGAGTCGAGTAGACGTATTATTTCGTGCATTTCGAATGCACGACCGCGCGACTCCGTGCGGGCGCATCGAAAATCGGATACTGGCGGTGGTTCCGTCGGACGCGGGTCGCGCAGGCGGATCGTTTAGATACGAACGGTCATTTTGTATTCGAAGCCCGGAATGCACTTTCGGGATTCTCGGCCGTATTTACTCTCGTATCCGCTTTATCTTTATTCGCGTGTTTAGGTGCGCCGAACGGCCCGCCGATCCGTTCGCGACACACGATGCGAACCCGCAAGGTCTGGACGTGACACTCGCATTTTTTTTCGTTCGTGTCCCGCGAAAAGGAGCGCGCGTTAAAGTATAAGCAGTTAAAAGTGCAAAGTAAGCTTTCTTTTGCCTGTAGCACCAGTCGATATATACCAGAGCGGGATATTCGTAATTTATTATTGAACCGAATTCATCACTCGCGGCACCAATTAAAATTTTTATCCCTGTGATACAATGGATATACGATTATACAATTGTATGTGTGCGACACAATTGAATGTCGTTAGGCAAACAGGCCGAACAATAAAGAATCGTCGCTAGCTTTCATTATCCGATCAAATGTGTACTATGTATTGGCAAAGTTTAATCAAGAAAAGATATTTATTTACCTGCGGCTAAAATGTCATGTGTCCTTATCGATATCTTATATGCCGTTGACGTCGATTCGAGCGGCGTGACGATCGTCTATTTGTAATCATTTATATGACGACGCTCGAATTAGAAAAACCTCTTAACTTAAGCACACTGCCACATGTTTGAATACGTAATTACGACGTGACGGAGTTATTAATTGCACCGCACCGAGGTGAACAAGAGAAAAAGAGGGAGAAGAAAAGACAGATTTAGAATCAAAGATAATCGCACGGCCCGTCGCGCCTTTTTTTCTCGACTTATCTGCGGTGCTTATCAATGATAGATGTCAATGAGCGCGATAGAGATAAAATATAGATGTAAGCAATCTCGTGAGCGTACAGTGTTTTGCCTCAAGTTACGAAAACCTATTTGCATCTAGTCAACACTTAAGAGAACACGTAAAGAACTGGAAACATTTCTTATCTTTCTTTTTTAAATGATTGAGAAGTAATGTATCGTAGGCGGGAATATGAAATACGTATATTCAGCCACTAATATTGAAAATATATTACGAATAATATAGCGATGAGCTTCAGAGTTTCCTTTTCCTTTCTCTTGATCGTTGCGACAGCCACGTAATCATGATGACGCGCACATGTTTGATAAATGTTTTTCCGTGGATATAAAATGTAAACCTAAGTAGTCTCATTAATAAGTGGTGCCTTATGCATGAAATTGTGCAATAACATCTGTTGAAAACTTCATAATGTGGCTTTAAAACTTAAAATTTTCCACTTATTTATGATTCTTTGGATTCTACCAATCATGTTATCAAATCCCTGAAAAAAATTGATATTCATATCGTTGATATTTCGAACGAATAATCAAAAAATAAATCGGGAAGCAAAGTTTTATGTTTTTATTTTATTGAGCTGTCTCGCATACAAGATTCTTTTACTTACAAAAGATTGAACGACCTCAACTCTATTAAAATGTGATAAACACTTTATAACTTTAATCAATCTTGAGAATAAAAAAATAATTCATATCCGAGATATTCTGTATGTACAAAAATAATGTGAAACGCGCAAAATGATATATAGAAGAACGTGTTATTTATATACTGGATAATATATTGACGAAACGAGTAGTAGTGTGTAAAAAGCATATGTAATATAAAAGTTATATAGGCAGTAAAATTAATATTGCAGATAACGCACAAGATCTGAGTTATTAATCACTATTATTTACTAGCTACTCGTCACTTGTATTCAATTTTCGAACGATGCGCCATTACTCGCGGCGTCTGGCCTTCATCTATGAGTCCTCTCTCTTTCCTCCGGCAATATTGTTCCCAGTAATGTTCGCATATTGCGATACGTAGCGAGCGTAACTGTCGGTATTTTGCGATCGTTAAGCGAGTAAATGTATACGTTACGTATATGGGACCCCCTCCCTACGTATATACGAGGCATCCAGCTGCCTCGTAAAAAGTCAAACGTATTACGCGTCCGCGCCGCGCGGCTCCGGCCACGTTGACATTTTGTGTATAAGCACGCAATATAATTAGCGGCCATAACCATAAATAAGATAATTTGCATGTATTTTGTATAATAAAGCTATTTTACGCCGAGGCACGAATCTCGTGCTTTATGGCCACCGGGTATGCGTTTGTGTGTCGTGTAAGTGTAGATATGTATGTATACACATATATGCATGGATATGTATGTGGAGAAAAAAAATATCCTCTCTCTTACCAGATATACCGGCTGCGGCTGCGGCTGCGGCTTACGGCTGTGGCGAGGCGGAATCGAGAAACGCCGCTCTGCGTTTTCGGTTCGCCACCGGTTCCGCGCCTCCTTCAAGATTTATAAACCGCGATTATAGCTGAAAACAATTTCTCGCGCTTCCAAAAGTCGATTTCTTTCTTACCTGTGAAATGCGTGGCCGTTGACTGTTACGTTTATTCGAGGCGATTGATTAAAACGATTTCTATTTCTAAAACGTATCTTCCCAATTATGACACGCTGATATGCTAAGGAATATTTAATAAAAAAATACTTTGCATAATTTAGAGAGTTTAAGGCTCGCATATAAATATCCAATAAATAGACATTCATTTTTGTGTAATACTCGGAAACGATAAGATTGTTGTTCGAGTTTCTGAGAAAGTTGAAGGCAACAGAAGATATTAGATTCGACTAATCGTCTTCGTGACGCGCGGCACATAGCACGATGATAAAACACAGCGATCATTATATAACTAAGATGTAACTCGAATATAACATTAGCATAACGAATCTTTGTCGAGGAGGAAAAAAAAAAAGACGGAAACTTAAGACATCAGCCATACAAACGGCTCCATTTGAACGTCTTAGCGGTATCCGATCTTGTCGCTGCGGTGGTGGTTGCAGTAGACGACCGGCTACGTGAGAATAACTGTAATGTACATCGTACAGCCGAGGATACATAAATTTTCAGTTGCATGGCGGAGCTAGCTACGTAGCTACGCCACTGCGGGACAAGAAGAGAGCCAAGCATTCGAGCAGTCAGACTGGCTTCGGTGTGCGGCCAGGAACAGTTCCTCGCCTAGCATACAAATGAAGAGTATAAACATGTCGTCATTATCTGCCGGATTTATAACATGGATACACCCAAGCTTGACGCACAGGTGGCTCGACAGTGGTTGCCATCTCGAATCCCGACGTCCGCTCTCCTCGCGCACGTCGACGCCGCGACGTGGTTTAAGAGTTTAAGAGTGAATTAATAACAACCCGATATAATTTATAGCGATCTAATCGCCTCTCGGAAAAGAAACGCTGCCTTCGCGCGTCAAACGCGCGCTACAAGCGAAATCGTCAAGCCTGACGCCCGCGAGTTTAGTTTATTTTACAAATAGAATAATTTTGTTTCAAGGATATTATTAGCACACGCATATCTTTACAAGAAGATAAATGTCATTTAATATCGTTAATATATGCGATCGAGATATTAATATCGGAATTTAATAACACGTAGCGACTCGTTAGCAATGGGTCTCGACGATAGTAAATTTAGCACGAAATAAATTTCGAGAAAGTAACGCCATAAAATCTTAGACCCGATAGATTCTGCAAAATAAAGGTGGAATGTGCAAACGCGCGAGGAGAACGGTATAATACCGCCATATTGATCGCACGGTGAAATGCCTGAAAACTGAAATACATCTACGTTCAAGGGGGATATTGCGTAATTTGCAGTGCGGGCTCGCGGTGATAAAAAAAGTGGCACTTGATATTTGCAATTGAAATCGACAACATCGACAAAATGGAAGCCGCGGTAACTATTTGCCGGGGCTGTTGAAACGGAGAGCCGGCGGGCGTGCAAAATTTTTAATGTAATTTACTTTCGCGCCATGACGTAAGCATCCTACTGGTATCGACATTTCCACGAGTGGGCGAAAGAGAAATTTGTGTGAGTGTCGAATGCAGTATTATATGGCCGTGGCAATTTACTGCGCGCCGTTACATACTATTTACCGCACAATTTACTACGCGCGTTACAGCGCAACGTTACAAGAAAGGCAACATATGTACGTCGTTATATTTTCTCGGCTAATAATTTATCCGCGCATCCGCGGAAACTCGATTTAAACACTTATTTCGGCCCGACACACACGCCCAGTCTCACGCGCTTCGCGACTACCCGGGATAATTTATATTTATATTATTTATAGAAACATTAATGATATTCGCAGTGAGACTCTCGCGTGAGAAAGGATCTCGCGCGCGTCGCGCTTTTAACTTACGTTAAAATTTTTATCTCCCCCTCCGGCATCTCCCAATTACGGACGTACATCTTTCCCGATTCCTCTCGTTTGTTTGTAATAAATAAGCACGTGGCCTGAAATCATTTCGTTCCACGATCTCGCGATAGGGTTGCCGGGCGTAACCGTAGCTCGAAATGCCGAGACAACGCGACGGGCTGATGCACGAAGGTAAAGCGGCAATTAGCCGAACGACGTCTCCATCAGCGCTCGGCCCGATACGTGTTGCTTCATTAGGAGATAATGAAGCGCCCGAGTTAATAATTTCCTGTAAAGATCCATAATTATCGGCGCGATAGAGTGGGTGAAACGCGAGAGGTGGTGGAGTAACGATCCGGATGTTAATTTGCCGGAGCCGCGATAAATAAGCGCTTTTCGCTGCCGTTACTATCATACTCACCGACTCACCTTGTATTGTCTTAATATCGAGATGCATATGAGATTAGCATCGACGTAGTATCGCGTATGTGTGACTCATTAAAATTCATTGAGCGCTATTATTGATAAATGGTATAATTATTCTCCCTCCCCCCTCCCTCTCTCTCTCTCTCTCTCTCTCTCTCTTTCTCTCTCTCTACCCGTACAGATGCATCTCGCGTGTTGAAACGCAAGCCGAGTACAGGAACACCGCGGTATCCTGGCGAGAGAGACCCTCACGAAAGGCACGCGTGTACCTGTTGGAGAAACCGACCGCCGTGCTCTTCTCTAACCGATCTATTGGTCATGTCCGAACGCAAATCTGTCGTTTCTCCGAATAAGATCGAGCTGATACGTCCCCCACGCGACGCTCGTTAAATTCATCGATTTACGATCGCGGGATTCTACAGCTCTCGGATGAGAAGATTTGGCTCATTAAAAATTTTCAATAACGAACTCTGTATCAGACTTCATGGGTCCGCGTGTCTTTTTTTTTTTTTTCCATTAGAACGGAGAGTGTACTTTATACCGAAATGAAATTGACTTTCTATCACACGTCGGCTTTGAACTTTCCCGCTATCGGGCAGTGCGACGATGTCGTCTCACGCGAGGCGAGTAATAAGTTACTCCCCGGACTGACGGTTTTCCCGAATTTAAGAACGTGGATTTCAATTAGCCCGGCGACTCTCGAGGCGGCTGGCACCCGATAAAATAACGAGGAGCCGAGCCCTCACACGAGCAGGTCCGAGAGAAGTAAACCCACACTTTCTTGGCTCCGGGTGAATTATGCTCTCCCTGAACCATAACTTACCCACACGGAGTTAATGCGTGCTTGTGCAATCCCGTCTGCCACGGTTCAGCCTACCTGGGCTAATGAGTAGGTGTTTGTTGGACATTCTGACACGTTTTACGACTCACCAGATTACTTCTCTCCCTCCCCCCCCCCTCCCCTCTCCCCTTGCATCGATAGATAGAGCC